GGTGCTGAGTCTGGGGGTGCTACGTCAGGAGCTGCTGAGCCTTGGGGTGCTCCGTCTGGAGCTGTTGAGCCTGGGGGTGCTGCGTCTGGAGCTGCTGAGTCTGGGGGTGCTACGTCAGGAGCTGCTGAGCCTTGGGGTGCTCCGTCTGGAGCTGCTGAGCCTCGGGGTGCTGCGTCTAAAGCTCCTGAGCCTCGAGGTGCGGAACCTGCCGCCGCTGGACCTCCCCTTGTGGAGGTGCTGGGCCTGGAGGTTCTCCGGGTGCTTCGTCTCGGCGGGAGCCCCTCTCTCCACAGGAGCTGCGCGAGTGGTTTGCTAGCCGCTGGAGGCGTACTGCTGGAGCTGGAGATTTTTCGGCCGCTGAGGGTGCTGGTGCCGCCGGTTCCCGGAGCTGCTTGGCCTGCGGGTCCTACTGGAGCTGGAGCTGCTGAGGGTGTTGGTGCTGAGACTGCTCCTGTCTGTCCTGGCGGTGGTCCTGCTGCTAGCTCTGCTGGAGGTCCTGCCGCTGGAGGAGCTGTTGGCGCTGGTGCTGCCACTGAGGGTGCTGGTGCTGTCCCTGCTGTGTCTGGAGTCCCCGCGCGGCCTCGGCCGTACTTCGTTCCGCTCCTGCAGCAGGTTCTTGGTCTTTCTCCTCCTGTAGAGTGTCCACCGCCTGTCCAGTCACAGTCACTGTTGGAGCCCACCTCCCCACTGCCTGCTCCCTCTCCTTACACTGGTCCTACTGGAGGTCTTGCTGAGCGTCGTGAGCCAGCGTCTCGTCCCGCGTCGCCCGTTCGTGCTGCTCGTGCTAGTGGTCGCGGTTCGCGTCAGCGTCCTCTTCCTGTCCCTGGCACGCACCGGATGTCTCTGCGTCCGTCCACTGCTCCTCTGCGTGCCCCTTTGCCTTCTCCTCCTAAGTCCTCTCTTCCTGCTCTTCCCGACCCGGAGTCGGACTCTCTTCGTGCTGCCAGTCCTACTGTCACGCGTCTTCTTGCTACTGTTGTCACTGACCCCTCTTTTGAGTCCACTGCTGCGTCTGCTCTTGTTGCTGAGCTCGTCGACTTTGCTGCTCGCTGTCGTCTAGACTACGCTGCTAGTCTTGTTGCTGAGTCTGCGTCTGTCTGTCCTCCGTCCGTCGGGGGTGAGTGTGCTCTTGGCACGGACGTCCTTGAGGACATGAAGGAGGAGTTCCAGTGTGTGGCTGCTGCTTCACCTCATCTCGCGTCTGTACTGCTTGCCCCTGAGGGAGACCCGGATGCACTAGACATCCCGACTCCGCGTTCTTACGCGGAGGCCGTAGAGGGTCCCTACTCCTCTCAGTGGCAGGCAGCTATGGATGCAGAGATGGCTTCCTGGAAGTCCAAAGGCACCTACGTTGACGCGGTTCCCCCTCCTGGGGCGAACATCGTCAGTGGCATGTGGATCATCAGGGTGAAGCGGCCGCCTGGCTCTCCACCTGTCTTCAAGGCGCGGTACGTCGCTCGTGGCTTCAGTCAGCGGCAGGGAGTTGACTACTTTCAGACCTTCTCTCCCACCCCGAAGATGACCACTCTTCGGGTGCTACTGCACATAGCCGCTCAGCGCGACTACGAGCTTCACTCTCTTGACTTCAGCACTGCTTTCTTGCAGGGCAGCCTGCACGAGGAGATCTGGCTGCGCCGTCCACCTGGCTTCACTGGGACTTTCCCTCCTGGCACCCAGTGGAGCCTCCGACGGCCAGTCTACGGTCTCCGCCAGGCACCGCGTGAGTGGCACGACACACTGAGAACTACGCTTGCGGCTCTTGGGTTTGCTCCCTCTACTGCCGACCCGTCGTTGTTTCTGCGCACCGACACCTCTCTGCCGTCGTTCTACATCCTCGTGTACGTCGACGACTTGGTCTTTGCCACAGCTGACACTGCTGGACTCGCCTACGTGAAGTCGGAGCTGTAGAAGAGACACACGTGCACAGACCTGGGTGAACTGCGCAGCTATCTTGGCTTGCAGATCACCCGGGACAGAGCACGCCGCACCATTACCCTGACTCAGTCACACATGGTGCAGCAGGTCCTTCAGCGCTTCGGCTTCACGTACTCCTCGCCTCAGGCCACTCCTCTGTCTACTCGCCACTCGCTCTCAGCTCTGCCTTCGGATGAGTACGTAGAGTCGAGTGGCTCGTACCCAGAGCCTGTTGGCTGCCTCATGTACCTGATGACCTGCACACGACCTGACCTTGCATACCCTCTTAGCATTCTTGCACGCTATGTTGCTCCTGGGAGACACCGACCAGAGCGTATGGCTGCAGCGAAGAGGGTGTTGCGCTACTTGTGCAGTACGTCGGGCATAGGGCTAGTGCTTGGAGGGCGGAGTCCAGTGGTCCTCACTGGGCACGCGGACGCTTCTTGGGCTGACGACCAGGCTACGCAGCGGTCGTCGCAGGGTTACACCTTCAGTCTTGGTTCCGGCTCTGTCTCGTGACGGGCTACTCGCTCGTCTTCTGTTCTCGGCTCCAGTTGTGAGGCTGATATCTACGGCTGCACAGGAGCTTCGCTGGCTCACCTACCTGCTGACTGACCTTGGAGAGCCGCCTCGTTCTCCTCCAGTGCTGTACGTAGACAACAAGGCCATGCTGGCCTTGTGTCGAGAGCAGCGCTTGGAGCACAGAACGAAGCACATTGCTCTCCGTTACTTCCTTGCTCGTGAGCTACAGCAGCGTGGTCAGTTGCGACTTGCGTACGTGGCCTCTGAGGCCAACACTGCTGATGTTTTCACCAAGGCACTTCCGCCTTGTGATCATCAGCGCTTCTGCACTCAGCTGGGACTTGTCCCAGTCTTGCCTCACTTGCTCACCTCTTGACCTTGCTTGTACTCTTGCATATATATATACCTGCTCTTGCTTGTTTAGCCTTATATATATATGTCTCCTCTTGCATGTGAACTAGCCTTGTGGCCTTGACCTTGTGCTCGGACTGTGTGGTGACTTTGTGATCCACCCTGAGCTTTGCTTTGCTTGACTGGTCTTGTGACCCCTTGTTCTCCCCCACTTTGCGTATGGGGGTGTGTCAGAACATTATCGCTTATGCTGATGTGTAGGCTATAGTGGGGTATCACATAGGGGGTACAACCCAATTAGGGTTTCCTATATGTACTCACTTCATTCATAGTTCATTCATTCGCGTTCTTTGTTTCACACACACTACACGGCAAGTACTACCTAAAAGCCGGTACGAACCGGATTTGGGTACCAACATACCGACCTTTACGAGAGCTGCTGACGCAGGAGGTCCACGACTCCAACCTTTCTGGGCACTTCGGCACGAACAAAACACTGAAGCTGGTGCAGCGGAATTTTTACTGGCCGGACATGTACATTGATGTACAACGCTAAGTGTCCACATGCCCAACCTGCCAAGCAATGAAGTCGTCGCGAGAAAGGCCCGCCGGACTATTGCAACCCCTCGCGCCACCCGAAAGACCGTGGCAACAAGTGACGATGGATTTCGTCACGGGGCTCCCAGTTGGCACGAGTGGCAACGACTCGGTCATGGTCGTCGTGGATCGCCTAACGAAAATGGCGCATTTCGCCCCCTGCCGAACGACGATCACAGCCGAAGACACCGCCAGGCTGTTCATCTCCACCGTCGTCCGTTTACACGGGTTACCTTCGGCGATCATTAGCGATCGTGACTCGAAATTTACGTCGAAGTTCTGGCAGGAGATGTGGGCACAGTATGGTTCCCGCCTGCAGTTTTCGTCGTCATACCACCCGCAAATAGACGGACAGACGGAACGGACAAATCAGACCATGGAGCAACTGATTCGCACCAACTGCCCCGACATTCGTAAATGGGAAGATTCACTGCCGATGCTGGAATTCGCATACAACAATGCCCCGTCGACCACGACTAAACAATCACCCTTCTTCTTGAATTACGGGATAGATCCTGTGGTACCCTCTTCAACGACTGTGGACAACCCGGTGCCAAGATCGCAGCAGCTTGTCACGGAACTACAGACCGCCCGCACAAAAGCAGTTGACTTCATTCGTAGGGCTAATACCACGGCCAGCCGCTAGGCGGATAAACACTGACGGAATTTACCCTTCCGCACAGGGCAAGTTGTACTTCTGGACACTAGGAATCTCAAGCTGCCGCAGCCCGCGAAACTACGACCCCGGTACGTGGGACCGTTTCGTATCATCCAGATGGTGACACCTGTCACCGCGAAGCTGCTGCTGCCCGACGACTGGAAAATACACGACGCATTCCACGTCAGCCTACTGCGTCATTACGAGCACCCGCAGTCGCCAGTTGTCGCTCGGCCGACCATCACGCCGACCACACGCACTGTGGCAGAGCCCCCGCTGGAACCTTGGAAGATTCTTGACCATCGCGTGGACGTGACCGCAACCAGCCGCTCAGTGAAATTCCTGCTTCGTTGGAAAGAACGCACGAGCGAGGATGACACGTATGTCGCCGATGACTCGCTACTGGGACATCCGATTGTGGATGCTTACCTGGCCCGCCGGGGTGTCTCCGATATTCACCACCTTTCTTAAGGTGGGGGGGTAGTGTAAGGAATTTTTCGGATTCCTTACTGGGTCACACTGTACGCGTACAACCCCGACTTTTCGGAAAACCAGGCTCGGTTCGCTGACCTCGCCTTCCGAACCACTACCGCGTCGCTTTCGGGTTTCCCAACCCCGAACCTGCACCCAACCATCTCGCGACCCCGCAAACTCGGCCCAGCTAGCTTTGCTATATTAGTCCTAGGCCTCGTTGTGTTCTCAGTAGTTGTAATCACTTCCGCGATATGGCATTCTGCGCACTCTCCTTTCTTACAACTCATAACAAGTGACAAGTTGAACTTGAAAGTGGTATATTTGTGGCTCTTACGATTGTTCTCCTCGGATTATTCTGCATTGCCATAACCAGAGAAAGTTTGGGACAGATCAGAGTGACCAGAAAGTCTCTAAAAAATCTCAACAGAAAAGACTGCAGGTACAGGGCTGAACGAAAAAGGCTGCAGCGTTCTAGTCTGGAAATATGAAACTAGAAACTCGAGTGCAGGTTCGGGACAAGGAGAAGCGATGCTAGTGTGCTGGTATATTAAACCTTCAGTAGTAGGTTGAATCATGAGTCAATACCAGCAAAAAGCGCTAGTCGTGCGTCGCTCTCCCCGCAGCGACGAAATACCCGTATTTATTAGTACTAATATATAGCTACTATGAGCAGTGATGCTGCTTTGAACGGGCAAATCCTGCAGCTGTTGGTTCTGCTGTCCGCCATTTTCCACACTGTCAGATCTTCTGCCAGTCACAGCAACAACAGACCGAGTTCATCTGATACTGTCCCCATTACCGCAGAATCAAATCGCTCGATACCTCTTACAGCACATTCGCCTCCCATACAGTCACCTCCTTCACAGTCGCTTCCCGTGCAGCCACTCCTACAGTCACCTCAAGTCCAGTCACTCTCCTCATCTCGTGTACAGTCACCTTTCCCTGATGTAGTGAACACACCCATTCCCGACCCTTCGTCACCTGCATCCGAACCTGGTCCCGAGCCTGCATCTGGGCCTATACCTCCTGCTTCCCAAGATGTCGATAACTCCACGTTCTTAAACGTCTCCCGTTCCGCATCGCCATGCGCGAGTACTAAGAGTAGGCCGCCAGCTCCAACACTCCGACCACCGTGGGAGCGGTTCGGAGTGTGCTCGGGCGGTAAGGGACCGTTTCGCGTGACGATCACTCCACATCAGATCGGAACTAGGTGGAAAGGATGGGGCACGTCGCTCGCATGGTGAGGAGATCTCAATGCGAGAACATGGGTTGGCGAACGAAGACGAACAGTTGATGCAAGAGCGTGATATTCTGGAATATTGATACATATTGAATCACTTTATCCACACTTTTCCTTTTCCCCTCCTTCCACCAACCTCCCCCCACACCCCCCCACCCTTCCCCCACCCCACCCCCCCACTTTCCCGCCCCCCCCCCCTCCCTGCGACTCCCCCCACCCCCAGGCTGGCAACTACATCGGCGGGTTCCCCCATTCATCCTTTTTCATTCCCCTACCCAATCTCCCTCCCCCCATCCCCAGGCTGGGCAACTACATCGGCGGGTTCCCCCAGGCGGCGATGGACCCTCTGCTGGACCTCATGTTCCTCCCCTCGGGCCTCAACCTCAATATAGTGCGATTCAATATAGGCGGCGGCTCCGTCCCTCAATACAGCCCTCAGCTATACACTGATTCTTCCATGCGCTGGCGGGCCATGCCGGGGTACTGGCCGGCGCAGGCAGCGGGGCTCAACTGGACAGCGGATTCGAGGCAGCAGGCGGTGCTGCTGGGAGCCAAGGCCCGCGGGGTGAACGTGTTCGAGGCGTTTTCCAACAGCCCGCCCTGGTGGATGACCGCGAGTAAAGACGTTTCAGGGGCAAAGAAGAAGTGGAGGACGAACCTGCTGCGAAGGTTCGAGGGGAAGTTTGCCAAATACCTCGTAAAAGTCGTGGAAGGGTTTGCAAAAAACCCGGCGCTGGGGAAAATCGAATTCGATACGCTGGAGCCGTTTAATGAAGGGCTGGAGGGACAATGGGTGGCCGGGATGGAGCAGGAAGGATGCAACTTCAACCCACCTGAGATGAACCGAGTTCTTCTCAAGACTTGGCTGGCTCTGCGGAAAAGGAAGCTCAAGACAAAGCTGGTTGGGGTCGACAGCAACGCGGCTCTGACCAGCTTAGGGTTACCACTGGTCCTTAGGAAAACCCTCCTGCACAGGATCAGCGTGCACGGTTACACTCTCCCGCCAGAAAAGTACGTGAACCTGACAACGGCACAGGCTATATCGTTAACAACTGTGATTAACACCCAGATGAAGAGACTGGCCAGATCTCTCGGGAAGGAAGTCTGGGTGTCCGAGTCAGGCCCGTTATTCAAGCAGGGTAATGACTACGACCTTTCGCTCTACATGATGCGAAACATCATCGAATCGGTCAACATTCTGGAAGCTTCCGCCTTTGTCTACTGGCAAATATATGATGGGAGTGACAACTGGTCGGTGATCAAGATCAACTGGGAGCACCCTCCTGGTTACACGGGCCCATTTGACCCTCCTTTGCTGCTGAAGCGGTTCTGGATGCTCAAGCAATTTACAGATCTGGTGAGGCCCGGGAGTCGGCCATTGGTGGTGCCAAGTAAGTGCCAACACACTGTAGCTGCTTTTTACAGCAAGGAGAAACGGACAGTGAGTGCGTTGATAGTGATTCAAAGGGCAGAGGATGCTAGGTTTGTTGTGAGGCTCTCAGGGTTCAAGTTGAATGCGGGGGGGCAATCGGAGGCAAATATTCGCAGGACCACCTGGGGAGATGATAATGTAGTCACTACAACGAAGCTCTCATCAAAAGATGGGGTTGATCTTGTAGTAGAAGGCCAGTCTTTCTTATCAGTAACGTTCACCCATGTTCAAATGAAGAGATAGTGTAAGGAAAAATCCTTTACCTTGCTTCGCATCCCTGCTCAAAGCGTACATCACTGTAGCACCACAGTCAGCACCGTTACCATTCGCAACCCTCACATCGATAATCCGCCTGCCACCTTCGCACATCGCACCCCGACCTCATGGCTCGGTGAGTAACCCGCGCTCCGGGCCTCCGCATCGACACTTTTTCCCAACCACAGTCCCAGGCCCGTCGCGTGACAACCACAGTCCATTACCGTTACCACTGTAGTTTCGCTATATATTCTTCGCTCATGTCTTCGCTCATTGTACTCTTGCTTCGATAGTGCAATTCTCGTTCGTTCACTCAATTGCACTCGTAACACTTGGTATTCAGAGCCTACGATGTCAGAATGAGAACTACAGCGGAAATGTGTTGTATTGACAGAATTGGGGTACATAACCTAACCCTAACTAGTTCTACCCCATATAGCCCAACCTACTACAGGCTATAATATTTGACACACCCCCATAGCCTAAGTGGGGAAGGCCAATCAACAACAAGCAACCTACGGTCACAAGACCAGTCAAAAACAAGAGAAAGAAAACAAAGCTCAGGGTGGATCACAACGTCACCACCTAATCTGAGCACAAGCAAAGGGCCACAAGGCCAGTCCAAAAGTGTGCAAACAAATATATATATATATATATAAGGTACAAGCAAGTAACAGACAAAGAGCACCCTACAATAGTCAACTAGACCCAGTCTCAACGAGGCCTAACTGCAGACAAAACCGACGGTGGTCACAAGGCTGGAGGGCCTTGGTGAAGATGTCTGCAGTGTTGGCCTCGGAGGCCACAAAGTCCAGACGAGCCTGTCCGCGTCTCTGCAACTCTCGAAGGAGGAAGTACCTGACGTCGATGTGCTTCACTCTGCTCTCCAGTCGAGGCTCACGACACAGGAGAATCATCACCCTGTTGTCAGCAAACAGGGTCGGTGCAGAGCTCGGCCGCTCACCAAGGTCAGTGAGCAAAAAGGTCAACCAGCGTAGCTCCTGAGCAGCAAGGGCCCCAGCGTAGATCTCGGCCTCTGCGGTAGAAGTCGCAACAGAGGAGGACCGAGTAGACCTCCACGAAACAGCTCCAGAACCCAGGCTGAAACAGTAACCCTGCGTAGACCTCTGAGTCTCAGCGTCGTCAGCGTAGGAAGAGTCACAGTGACCGGTGAGTACAACTGGCTGTGTCCCTCCAAGTACAAGCCCCATGCCTGATGTCGCGCCAAGGTACTTCGCCACCCTCTTAGCCGCCGCCCAGTGAACAGGACGGTGTCTCCCAGTCGCAACAAAGCGAGACAGGATGCTAAGGGGGAAGGCGAGGTCCGGGCGAGTGCACGTCATCAGGTACATGAGGCAGCCCACCAGCTCTGCGTAGGGACCACTGGGCTCGAACGGCTCGTCAGGAAAAGGCCCAGTGAGTCTGTGGTCTACAGCAAGAGGAGTGGGGGCAGGAGAAGAGTCCTGAAGCCCGAACCGCTGAAGAACCTGCTGCACCATGTGTGACTGAGTGAGAGTGATGGTGCGAGCGGCTCTGTCCCTGGAGATCTGCAGGCCAAGGTAGCGGCGCAGTTCCCCAAGGTCAGTGCAGGTGTGTCTCTTCTGCAGTTCAGACTTCACCTCCGCCAGTGCAGCTGTGTCGGCCGTGGCAAAAACCAAGTCGTCAACGTAGACTAGGACGAAGAAAGGTGTACGGCCACGACGAACAAACAGCGACGGGTCGGCGGAAGACGGCTCAAACCCGAGGTCGGAGAGAGTAGAGCGGAGAGTGTCGTGCCACTCACGGGGTGCCTGGCGGAGACCGTAGACCGGTCGTCTGAGGCTCCACTGGGTCCCAGGCGGGAAAGTGCCAGTGAAGCCCGGAGGACGACGCAGCCAGATCTCCTCGTGTAAGCAGCCCTGGAGGAAGGCAGTGGAGAAGTCAAGAGAGTGTAGCTCGTAGTCTCTCTGCGCTGCTACGTGCAGTAACACCCGAAGAGTGGTCATCTTCGGGGTGGGCGCGAAGGTCTGAAAGAAGTCAACCCCCTCGCGCTGACTGAACCCTCTAGCCACGTAGCGTGCCTTGAAGACTGGGGGAGATCCCGGCGGCCGCTTCACCTTGAAGATCCACATGCGTCAACAATGTTCGCCCCTTGGGGGGGAACCTCGTCAACGTAAGTGCCTGTGGACCTGTAGGAGGCCATCTCTGCGTCCATGGCAGCTCTCCACTGAGAGGCCCAAGGCCCTGACACTGCCTCAGCGTAAGTGCGAGGAGTAGGTATGTCAGGAGCGTCGGGGTCTCCCTCAGGAGTGAGCAGCATGGCACAGAGATGAGGCGAAGCAGCTGCCAGGAACTCTAGCTCAAACTGTCTGTCCTCTAGGACGTCACAGCCAAGGGCACACACACCCCCGGCGGACAGAGGACGGACAGGAGGAGCTGCCACAACTCGAGTGGCGTAGTCAAGGCGACGCGTAGCAGTAAAGTTAGTGACAGCGGCAGTGAGGACCGCGACGGAGGAAGGAGAGGCACGAGGGTCTGTAACAAGAGAGGCGAGAACACGAGAGAGAGTGGGGCGGTACGTGCGGTAGTAGTCAGTGACCGGAGTGGACAGGGAGGCAGTGAGGGAAGACTCAGGAGGACGAGGAAGGACAGACGGAGGAGAACGAGGAGGACGAGGACGAAACAACACGGTACGGAGGTTAGTGACAGGGGACGAGGGACGAGCACGAGGAGGGCGAGAGGCCCAAGTGTGGGCGAGAGGAGGGGGGGACGGAGGAGACTGAGAACGAGGGAAGACAGCCGGAGTGGAGTCCGGAGGAGGAAACGTGGGACCGAACACAGGAGGAGAGGAGGGGAGACCAAGGGCCCGAAGGCTAGAAACAGGGGCCGGAGGATGCTCCGGCAGCTGCGGCGGCTGCTGCTGCTGCTGCTGCTGCTGTGGCTGTGGCTGCGGCTGCTGCTTCTGCTGCTGCTGCTGCTGCTGCTGCTGCTGAAACTCCAACCGCTCACGCTCCACCCGCTGTTGAATCTCCGACCTCTCACGCTCCAAACGCTGCTGCTCCTCACGCTCTAGAAGACGAAGGGCCTGGTAACGAGTCGGGTAGGGGTGAGGAGGAGGAGTGGTGTCAGGAGACGACGAAGAAGAACCGGCTCCACCCTCGACAGGACCCGGCTGAGCACCCCCAGAGCGAGGACCCCCTGCGGCAGCACGACCAGTACCTGTAGGAGGTGTACCCGCACCCCCAGTCGTGGCGCCGCCAGTGGCACCAGCACCAGCCCCAGACTCTCCAGCTCCAGAAACACCACCAGCTCCAGCACCACCACCGACTCCAACACGCTCGGGACGTGCAGCTGCGGCAGGTGCACGCTCAGCTCCAACTCCAACACCCCCAAAACCGGCACCGCCAGAGCCCTCACCTCGAGCACCAACACCCTCAGAGTCCGCAGTGGCCGGGAGAGGAAGCGCCGACGGCTGTTGCGGAGGCTGTGAGGACGACTGTGGGGAAGGAGGAGAGACCTGGGGGGGGACCGAGGGAGGAGGGGTAGCCTGCGACACACCTGACGGAGCGGGAACCGGGGGGGGTACCGGAGGAGAGGGAGCGGGAGGAGGAGGAGCTGTGGCGAGGAAGAGGGGAGGGGGGGGAACCGGGAGACCTCGACAGGGGTACCGGACGTAGTAGGGGACGGACTCGTCGAAACTGACGTCACGAGAGTCAAAGAACCGGTGGGAGGGAGGGTGGTAAAAGGTGAAGTCGGAGGAGGCCTCAGGGAAACCAAGGAAGACACAGGGGACGCCGCGAGGTGAGAGCTTGTCCGCAGAGGTGTCGCGGACAAGCGCCAAGCAGCCCCAGACACTAAACCTCGACGCAACACCAGGGGACCCTGTCCAAAGACTGGTCGGTGAAGCCCCTGGCCGAGAGACGCGAGGCCAGAGGTTCAGCTGGTGAGCGGCATACCGAGCCGCGTAGGGCCACAGAAAATGGGGCGCGCGGGCGTGGATCACGGAGGTGCGGGCAATCTCCATGACCAGGCCTAGCCGGCGCTCAGCAACCCCATTCTGCTGTGGAGAGTCTGGAAGAGTCCAGGACTGGGTGATGCCCTGCTCAGCACAGAATCTGGCGAGAATGCCGGAGCGAAACTCACCCCCACGGTCGGAGTGGAGACAACTGACACGACGACGACGAGTACTCTCGGTGGCGAGCAGCCACCGGATCAGCGTAGAAGTCACGTCGGACTTCTTCGCCAAAGGGAACACGGTGGTGTACCGAGAGTAGTCGTCAACAACCACTAGGAAGAAGCTCTCTCGCTCAGGTCCAAGCCGGGGAGCGGGGCCCCAGACGTCTAAGTGGAGTGTCTCAAAGGGCTCGGAGGCTGGACGAAGGGAGGAGGAGTGAGGAGTGGCGCGCAGCCGACCCTGGACACAAGGACTGCACAGAGGAGCGGGGGACGGCGGGAGCGGCGGGAGGTCGCGGGGGAGACCTAAGACAAGACGCTGACTGGACATAGCGCGGAGACGAGAGAGGGACGGGTGACCAAGGCGGTGGTGCCAGAGGAGGGCAGGGTGGGACAGCGACCGACACGAGCACGACGCAGCCACTAGACCTGGCACAGCTACCTGACTGGACCTGGCTACCTGGTGGGACGGGGGAACCGGACGGGTGTCGGTGTGGAGGGTGTACAGACCAGAGCCCGGCTCCTGACGAAAAGTGGCCAGAGGGGCGTACGTGTC